CCAGCACCAGCCAGCGTCGTTCTGGCATCGAACAACCGCAGGTCACCGAGTATAACAACCTCGAAACTACCTAAAAAAGAGTTTTTCCGGAATCCCCAGAAGCCAGAAGACATTTTCAGGACAAGACAGCCATCCACATACGGCCCAGCCCCCTTTTTTAAGAACAGATTGACGTTTTTTTTTTTTTAAGTTCTAAGAAATTCTAAGAATTATGCAACTGCCTACGACCGTATTCATCAAAAGAAAAGGGATACGAGGGCAAACGATCAGGGAAGACTAGGACCTGCTAAGCGAAAGAAGGGAAGGTGGAGGCCGTCAGTCCTCGTACAAAAACGCGGCAGATCTCAAAACCCCTCGTGCTAGGGTGACAGGGCGCCACCGCTACCCCACAACCGATCCACCTTGTTCTTACGGAAAGAAGTGTCTTCCACCCTCGACTACTCCTCAAAAGTCATAAAGCCCCATAGTTACAGGGGAACCCCCCCGGCGATGACTTCGTCGAACCCACTGGTTATGCCACACAAAACAGGCATAACTCCCCGGGCCTCAAACTCCTGCCCAGGTTACAGAGCCTCAACTCCAGCACCGGCCTGAGTCGTCCCAGCAGAATCCTCCTGACCTACCAGCCAAAACCAACCATCCAACTACATAGCAGATCCGGTCCACCCTAAGCAATCAACTCCCCCAGCTATACAAAAACCGAGAAAGGAGAGATCAAGATACAATCATCAATCTTCTGTCCCCCGATTTTGGGGTCAAAAATCCTTCAGAAACCTAATTTGGAAAATGGTAATAGAAAACCGAATTCAGAAATTCTACCTATTAGAACATTCGAATATTCTTTAGAAGTTTATAAGGGCGGGGGGCAAACAAACTGTCTACTATCCTAAAATCCTCCCTCAGCAGACGAGGTGTCAGTCCAGGCTTTCAGTCTTCGTACCAGAACTCAATTGATGTCATACCCCCTACTGATAGGGTAACAGGGCACAACCCTCCCCAGTACCGACCAACCTCGTTTTGACAGTCAGGAAGTGCCTTGCTCCCTCGACAGTTCCTGCAGCGGCAAGCCCCAAACAGGTTACAGGGTCAATACCCCGGCGCCAGCCTCGTCCGACGACCTGGTTATGCACTCGGCATAACTTCGCAGGCCTCAAGCTCCCCCCGGGTCACAGAGCACCAGCTCCAGCACCGGCCTGAGTCGTCCCAGCGCCGTCCTTCTAACCTACTTACCCTGACCGAATACCCTCCTCTGTTGAGAATCCCTTTCTTCCCTCCACAAACTTCTATCCCCCGATTTTTGGAATCAAAAAATCCTTCAGAACCTAATTTAGAAGATGGTAATAGAACACCAAGTTCAGAAATTATATCTAAAACATCTTATAGAGATTATAACTAAAACGAGCGACAGGTCTAAGATTAGATTTGGGATTATTCCAAATGAAGAATGACTTCGAAAGTCATAGATTTAGAAATGAAATTGAAAGCAATGAAGGAATCAACTTTCGATTCAGATTCCTAGATCCCCAAGATCCCAGGAATCGTTGTGATAGTGAATCAGAGAAAGTAATATGTGATGTCCAAAGGGACTTTCGATTCAGATTCCTAGGACCCCAAGGTCCCAGGAATCGTTCTGATAGTAATCCAGCGATCAGGATATGTGTGCAAAAACAAGCGAATCTAAACAATCGAAAAAGTGCAATCTGATAGTAATCCAGAATTACCAATTAGCAAACAGACAGCGATCAGGATATGTGCGCAAAAACAAGCGAATCTAAATCCGACGCACACAATCGAAAAAAGTGCAAACTACCGCATCTCAAAAGGACTAAGAACTAATGATCACAAAATCAGGATTATTAGTTATGTTCAACCGTACTAATACACAATCAGACAAATCTCAAGACGAACAAACACAATCAAGGCCAAACGGAAGAGGAACACCATACTCTTGACAAACCTTGAATACACCCCCCCTCTCTCCAAACCTCACCTCCTCGCTTCATCGGCTTCTCAGCAACTCGGCCGCCTGTGATTGACAACCATTCAACCAACCAATAAGACCGAACGATGATGATAATAGGACCGCAGTCGGGATTGCCGTTGCAGCATGCCAAACCACGTTGCGAGAATAAGCCGCTGAGCCCGCCAGCCGCCCCTCGCAGGTAGTCCGAAAAGATGAGGGGGAGTCCACGTTGCAGATGCCATCCTTCCTCTACCTCCTAGTAACCCTCTCCCTCCAACCCATAACCCTTCCTTTCCCTATTCTCTCACCCACCATGTTCCTCCTCTTCCACTAAGACCTTGGTGTGAAATGGCGCCCAGATACCCTTTCTCCCATCCCTCCTTGCGCGAACCTCATCATCCCAGCCTTCCCGCCGCTCCGCAAGACCCGCCGTCCCGCCCGCCCACCTCCTCCTCGCGTCGATCTCGCCATCACTGCCGCTCCTCGTTCCCGCTCTCTCCGCGAGACCTGCTGTCACGTCCAAACGCCGGGCGGCGGAGCGCTCCCGGTAGCGCTCCGCCGCCTAATAGTGGCCTTTCGCATTCTCTACGGCCCAGGCCAGAAGCATTGCAGAAACCGGTAAGAGCCTGACTTAACTTCGGGCGAACTGGTGTTTTCATTGGCGTTGAGAGTGTCCTCTGTTAAATGAGTGCCCTCCGTTAAATGACGCATCCCTTCTGCCCCGCAACAAGAATCAAAATGGTACTTTGAAGGCGGCTCGGGCATACCAGTGGTGGTAAGGGCATGCTCGGCTCCCACTTTCCACACCATGCAAGAAGAGTATGGACCACAATAAGTGGGCACCATGCTGTGGAAAGTGTGAGCCAAGCACACCCTTCCCACCAGTGACACGTTCGAGCCGCCTCTTATTCTCCGCCGCACATTTCAGACGTGTGCTGAAAAACAACAAATTGGTGTGGGCATGCAAAACAAAGTAGCTGGGAAACGCACTGGTGGTCTAGCCTAAAAGGATTTCAAGCTGCACACGTCCCAGTGACGGTCCCAGAGTCCCAGGTGGCCCCAGTCCCACAAGGTCCCAGTTCGCCGAGTCCCAGGGTCAGTAGGGTCTCATAGGGGTCCGTAGGTCTAAGCATCGCAGTCCGGTACCGTTGGGAACAGAAACGTTGTAGGTCCATAGGAGTGCCAGCACCCGGCAGGAAAGTCCAGTCCCGAAGTCCAATTTTGCAGCAGCGTCCCAAGAAAGTCCGGTGACTTCTGGAACTTCCGTATGCAGTGGACAGGCCACGGGCGACCGGTACCGGTCCAAAGCAGGCAACACAAGTCAAAGTGTTCTATTTATAGCGGCCACAGTGACAGCACGAGTCAGTTGTTCATTCGCGAGTTGCAGAAGCGCTGCTGGATGCTTGTGCAACAGCGCAACTTGGGCAGTGATGCGCCAGGAAGTGGATAACAGCGCTTTGAGAAGCCAGAGCTGGAGTTGACCGAGAAGGAAGGGCCTTCCCATAGCCCCGGGGATCGGAGACGAAGTGACGAGATAGAGGTAGTGAGAGAGAGTGAGTGCAAGGTAGAGCGATACAAGGTCTAAGCGAAGGATGATGTGTGTGTGTGAGTGTGTGTGTGTGTGTGTGTGTGTGTGTGTGTGTGTGTGTGTGTGTGTGTGTGTGTGTG